GTAATCTCCAAGTTCGCGAACATCGAGTATGGAAGCATCGAAGACTCAAATCCAATCGAAGCCTAAAATTCAACGGAAGCCTCACTGTTCGCAACCATTTAACTCCATCGCCGTTTGAAAATCTCTACCAAAACTTACTCTCTCAATTTCCTTCTCTAAATTCACTGGACTTAATAGCTCCATTCTTAGGTTTTGCGTCAGGTGTCGCTTTGTACCTAACTACTCGATCAAAACTTAACTTAAAACCCGAAATTGCGGATGTCGGAGACTGGATTTTGTTTACTAGTCCGACACCGTTTAATCGGTTCGTCACTTTACGGTGTCCTTCGATATCGTTCCAAGGAAGTGAGTTCTTGGAGGGTGTGAATGAGAAGCTTGTGAAAGAGGACAGACACTTTTTGAGGATAAACAGCGGGAGAATCCAAGTGGCAGACAGTAATGATTCCAAAATTGGAGCGAAATTGGTCTATCAGAGAGTGTGCGTGAGTACGGACGACGGAGGAGTAGTGTCGTTGGACTGGCCAGCGAATTTGGACTTGTCGGAAGAGCATGGGTTGGATACCACTCTTTTGCTCATTCCGGGCACGGCTGAGGGGAGTATGGATAAGGATGTAATGTCATTTGTGTGTGAATCTTTAAAGAGAGGGTGTTTTCCAATTGTAATGAATCCCAGGGGTTGTGCTGGCTCACCATTAACCACAGCACGGTACAATTAATAGTCATTTCTCTTCATTTGGATGTTGCAATTGTTATGTGGCGTAGATATCATGTTAAACGTGGAAACTAAAATTTGCAATTTGGTAATGTTTCCTATATGTGTTTGTGAAACCTAGTAGAGGAGTTTTTGCTTAATATTACTAAGGCTTTGCAACCAGAGTTAATAACGCTGTCAATCATACTTGTTGCGGATTTTAGTGTGTCCTGGGAACTTTTGTATGTGAACTCATGCTTAATTTTAATGGCTTATAACACAAGGATTAATGTAAGCGACAATCATTTGAAGAAAATAAGTCCTTATTGTTGCACAATATATTGTGGCCTTGTTGGGTGAGCATTTGAGGGAGGTGGAAGGGAGTGTTTTGTTGGTTAGAGCAGTTGGGGCTATGGAAGTAAAGGCTTCTAATTAGCAGCTATATATTTGTGATTGCTAGGGATAATTTGTCTTTGGAAGGACCTTACTTTAAGAGCTGATTACACTAGCGTGCTAATCTAGTGGTAAGAGCTTTCCATTGTAATGGGGCAGACCTGAGAATAAAGCTAGCTAGGCACCTGGGCTCCATCTCTGTATGCTAATAGATATCACTGGAAACTAAGATCTACTACGTAATTATACTCCAATGTTGTCTGAGCTCCCTAGTGTCTACTAAAATGTTAAAGCTAATTGAATCTCCATGCCAGAAGTAATTTTAACTTTGCTTTACCTGAACTTATTTATGTTGATATATTTCACTGTACATAGTATCGAAGATGTATGTACATATTTTACGTGGAATACAGCACATTCTTAATGCCTGAAACCTGTGAACCTCTTGAAGTCTAGCCTTCCCTGCTTCCACCTGTGTGCACTTCACCAGGAATTCCATTTCTTCATCATATGTAGCTGCATCCCTTTGATCTTCCGTAGTTTGGTGAACTGAGCTATTTGAATAGCTTGTCCGTTAACGGTTGATCTGTTTTGAGAATTCCGTATTTGCTTTTCTAAGCAGAATAAGAAACATAATTTTGCTCAGAATGAAACAAATAATAATTTTCATGAGTGCCAACAAAGGGAAGCTCTGTCAAGCAGTTCTCCTGACCTATATGAGAGCCTGTGTAATTCATTGCATCTTTACCTATGTTTATTGTATTAGATTTATAACAGTTTTGTGCTCAGATTCCTATAGGAGAAGACTTGTCTGTTGATGGTCCCCTGTGGATTTATTGCGCAAAACAAGCTGATTGTAGGGCACCTTAACTAATTCATTTATGTAGGTTATTTACAGCTGCTGACAGCGATGATGTCTCCACAGTTATACAGTTCGTTAATAAGGCAAGGCCATGGACAACAATGATGGGTGTTGGCTGGGGTTATGGTGCAAACATGCTGACGAAGTACCTGGCAGAAGTTGGAGATAGAACACCTCTTACAGCTGCCACATGCATGGACAACCCTTTTGACTTAGAGGAGGCCAGACGGTCCTCTCCGTATCACATTGCTGTTGATCAGAAGCTTACGGGTGGCTTGATAAATATTCTGCGATCCAACAAGGTTGGTCATTCTATGGAACTTTCTATTAGCCATATATGCATGCTTTATGTTCTTCAGCAAAGAAGCAAGAATGGCATGCTTCAGATTGGTTCATCTATTTTGGTTCTTATTTCCATTTTGTTGATGTCATCATTGCTATGTAATGCTTATTTTATGCTTTCAGGAACTATTTCAAGGTCGAGTCAAAGGTTTTGACATTGAAAAGGCTTTGTTGGCGACATCCGTCCGAGATTTCGAGAAGGCGATATCTATGGTGTCATATGGATTTGATACCATAGAAAATTTCTATGGGAAATCTAGCACAAGAGGGGTGATTGGGAACGTGAAGATTCCTGTTCTGTTCATACAGGTCTGTCCCTATGGATTTTATTTCTATGTGAAGACACGCAAATGAGGTGTGATTGGAAATGGTAGCATTTTATTATTTATTGCTTTTTTTGCAGCTGTGCATGTCTACATCTTCTTTTATTTAATTTTTGCTATTCCAAGTGTTCTGCCCCCTAAAATAATTGAAAAACGAAAGGATGCATTCATGTTTAATCAAGCTCCCCCCCCCCCACCCCACCCCCCCCCCCCCCAAAAAA